ATCCAAGGCTTCCAAAGTATGGGAGTGAGTACTTCAAATTACCACGAAACAAAAGCACAGTTTAAACACTGGGCAACGTTTCAATGGCGCCACTAGCACAATCCATTAACACCTGAAGAGAAAACACACTCACACAGGCGCTATTCACGGATAAACCACCAGAAAAGACAAAAAAAAAACAGCAGTAAGTCTTTTAATTAGCAGGGAGAGCTTTTTTAAATATTTATGTTCTTGTAGCTGCTGAATACCTTCAAAACTCCTAAAATTTGAACTCCAATCAAACAGTTAATTCCATTTTTCTGGAAGGAAAACAGCTCGTTCAGATGAATCAACAACATGGCAAAGTAGCTAATGGATTAATCGATAAGAAAAAAAAAAACCCACTGACCTCCAGTAGCTGAGTCTTGTCGTACTCTCTGCGGTGCTGGTAGATACACTGGCTGAGAAGAGAGTAGAGCCTCTCCAGCTGCTCCACGCTGTAACCCTCGCTCTTCCTCACCACCATATCCAGTATGGCCTGAGGAAAATGATGCAAACAAATGTTAGAAACACAACATTAAAGTTTCATCTCGCCAACGATACATACCATACATTATTAGTGCGCGCGTACAGAGACGCCGTAACGACGAAAACAGTCGCGAGCCGTGGTGCCGGCGCGAGGAGATGCAGCGTTTGGAGGTCAGCTGTATTCAAAAGCAATTAAGATCAGAGTGACAGCTAATTAAGGCTAATCATAATTAGAACCAAGTTTACATTTCACTGCTACTTTAATTAAAACATTCTGGACAGTCAAAGGCCCTTTTAATTGACCTGTTCGTCACATTTTACCCAAGCCAGAGCCTCTGTGTGTGTGTAAGTGTGTGTGTATGTGTGTGTGTGTGTGTGTGTGCGCACGTGAGGCTATTTAAACACAAGGCTCATCAGAATGCATGGACTGAGACAGCAAAGGCACAATAATTAAAGTTATCATCACTGGCACAAGGCAAACAGGGAAACCTCAACAGAAACGAATCGCTGCATGCGTGTGTGTGTGTGTGTGTGTGTGCGCGCGAGGCCGTACCACGTGTCAAACACATAAAATCAAGGCAATATCATGATTAATAAGACATGGGTGTTTGTCAGAGCCTCTCATCAGCCAACGTCTGAGAGATAATTACAGCGAGCAAAAGAAAAATTAGAGAGGCAAAAAGGTTGGCATTGTATTAATCACTGCACTCCATCTGACAATGATTTCTGCTTAAACGACGGTTGGCCTGATTAGAGTTAAACCGAGGCTTCAAATCAAGGGAAACTTGAGCGGAAGCATAATCCCGCGACAGAGTTAACTCTCGACTGCAAACTTGGCCTCGAACACGAACGACGCTTTCCTGAAACAACAGAACTGGCTCTACAACCATTTGCTGGAGTGATATTAAAGAGCCCCTACGATGCACATTTGCAGGTTTATAATTTTACTTCTGGGGTCTACTAGAATATGTTTAAATGCTTTATTGGTCAAAACACACATTATTCTCCCCCTTCATTGTAGCACAAGTCTCCCAAAATGCCTGATCCGATCCGATTGGTCAACAAAACTAGCTAGCTACACACTCTAACCCCACATCTACAAGTAAATACAGATTGAACCAACAGCTTGAACAGAACTGGCTTTATACCCATTTGCTGGAGTGATATTAAAGAGCCCCTATGATGCACATTTGCAGGTTTATAATTTTACTTCTGGGGTCTACTAGAATATGTTTACATGCTTTATTGGTCAAAATACGCATTACCTCCCTCATACTGTGACACTTGTTCTCCCCTTTTATTGTAGTACATGTCTCCCAAAATGCCTGATCTGATCTGATTGGTCAACAAAACTAGCTAGCTACCTACTCTAACCCCACATCTAATGCAGATGGAGCTGGAACAGAAGCAGTGATGAAGTAACGGCTCATTCTTTGTTTAGGGGCCAAGCTAGCTGCTAGGTAGGCGTTATGCAAATGTGTTACGTGGTGACATAGATGCGCAACAGGGAGAGAATAACTTTACATGCATCTACATAACACACAGAAAAACATTTTTAAAATAAACGTCCATAAACCCGCAACTGTGGTGGCCTCTGGCACATTTTAATGCCACTGTTCCATCTTATACACGTTGGTAATTATTGAAAGTTTTAATGAGTTCGCCTACCAGACAGCACACACGCTGTGAGCTATCTGTAAGGAGAACTTCTTTTTTCATTTTCATCTCAGCTCACACAGTCTGCAAATAGCCATTTATTATTTAAAATCAACACGTATTCCCGACTGATCAGAACTTTTGCAATTACAAATCATTAGACTTGTTTACTTTTATGTATTTCTTGACACCTTTGCTGTCTCTAGCTTGTCTTTTCTCACCCTTTTCTTCTCTGCTTAATTACTTCAAATCGAGGTATTCAGCCGAGCGTAGCACAAAATTTCTTTACGTATCCAGACAAGGCAGCGTCTCACTAGTTCAACTATATTAAGTTGTCAGAGCATATTTGTGTGATCCTTCAGAGACAAGCTGATGATCGTCAAGCAATGATGGAGAACCGAAATGTTGAGTTTAGGGCGGCAATAAAGTTCCTCACAACAGGCTGGCGGAGGGATACGGTGATAATAGTCCTGCCTGCAGTCCAGATCTGGCCCCCTGTCGTTATTACCTGTTTAGAAATTTGAAATCACATTTGCGTGGAACCAGATTTCCTCAAGGCTGCCACAGAGGCACGGTTTGAGGACTTCTATTTTAAAGGTATGGACACTCTGAGGGAAAAGTGGGTGCATTGAGGTAAATGGGGACTATATTGGAAAATAATAGTACAATGCATGGTCTGCTGCTGCACTATATACCTCGTTCTGTGAACTTTTTGGGCTCCCCTCGTATGGGCAGTAAGCACCACAACCAAAAGCAGAAACCATGAACAGACTGTATTATGTGGGACAATAAAACACACTTGATCACATGTATTAGTGCACAAAGTTCTACTACAGCTTATTTTATTTTTAAAACACAATTTGGGTCATCTGACGAGGAAAAAAGCATTCTGTGACAGTTTAAAGCTATTTTTTCTCACACCAAAGATGGTTCTACTGCACAAAGGGCAGCATAAATAAAGATAATTAACCATTAAAACCACAAACATCTTGTGTTTTGAATCCTTCCTGCATAGTCTAAGTAACCTATTTATTGAGGATGTCCCCTCTCTGTGCAATCAATAAGCTTCCTAATGTGTTGGGTCATTAATTATTTTGCTAATATTCATCATAAAAACGATGCAACTGATTTGTATCTGACATGCTGACAAGCTTCTCTATCATCACACTTGTATTGTTTGAAAGTGGAAAACCAGTAGCGATGAAATAATAAAGCAGCTGGCAGCCGGGACGTATGGAAACATCTACTTTTCCTCTCTTTGTGTGCCGTCACTGGAAACATTTTCCATACTTCTGCAGCCCGACTTCCACCGAACGCTTATCACGCTGAAGTCAACAGCCCGGATACATGACTCCGAGTAGATAATGCCTTTCAAACACTTGCATAACTTAATCTGGCAGTCTGGGAGGATTCACTCTGACATAAAAAAAAAAAAACCCTCCACCTGGCCGATCTGATAAGTCCCTTGACAAATAATGGCTATATACAGAAGTTAAGAGCACTGGAAAAAAAGAAAACTTTAATATTCAGGATTCACGCAGAGTGATAACCATCATCACCTCTGAAAAGTGCCATTAGCTGCTCCGTATTAAGCATATTTTAGTGGCATCTCTCTCTTTTTTTTTAATATATATATGTGTACAGGAGAGTTCTCAGGTTTCGCAGTTTCAATCCAACAGCGGGAACTCGTAAAAAAGGGACCAAATGGAGCACATCGCAGCGAGACGCCAATTTTAACAACACGCGCATAAAAGCTTTAATTAGCATCATTACGACCCATCTCACATGTGTAATAATGTACGGCATTCCTCGAGCTTTCCTTTCATCCCGCTGCATCTCTTTGTGTTTTTTTTATGATGTTTTCTGGCCTTAAGTGCATTTCGGAGGCTCTCCGGTGCATCTTGTCTCCTTTACGGCGCGTCGTCTCACCTCCAGCCACTTTCTATGTTTATCGGAGCCTCTCCTGACCTCTCCCTCAACCCCATTTCAGACACAACACTCCCTCACAACAACCTTTGCTTCCAACGTATTTGTCTTTTTCGCTCCCTTCCCTCGTCGTGCTCCTCTTTACTGTTAAGCGAGCTGATTGCGCCGGTGTACTTCCCGGCCTCCTGGTCGGGATATCGGCGACGGTGTGGGGTAAATGGTGTGTCTTACACGGGAGGAGGGGGCTCAGTGACTGAGTGAGCTCACGGCACACAAAAGGGCAGTAATCCCATGCGTTAAAGACTACTACTGACATGGGCCATTTAACCTCACTCCCTCTAAACTCCCAGCTCCATCTTTACTCACATCCCCGTCTCTGCCCACATCTCTATCTATCCACACGCCTCTTACGGCCACAGACAGAGAGAGGTGGGACGGCCGTGGCTTTGGAGAACAAAGGAGGATAATCGTATATGGATTTATATTAGTGCCATGATTCTCCATGAGAGATTTTGCATTGATTTTAAATAAAGAGTAAAATAAACTCATCATTCCCTGCAAAAAAAAAAAAACAACAACCTGTGACCACCGTTTTCTGTTTCTTTCTTGATTCCAGGAAGCTCTCTTTCCATCTTTAGGTCTTACAATAATCTTCTGTTCTTCTAGGCATTGTTGACTTTACATATACAGCTCATGCACAACATAATGGTCATCTCGCGTGAAATTTCACACTTTCACGGTTTGAACGCGTCGTGTTTTCAAAAGTTGCTTTTGTTAGGAGCGCAGTAGGTGGCCTGGTAATCACTTCTACAGCTGTATAATCACAGTAAGTCGCCGGCTGTAATGGCTATGATTTGTTCTGTACTGATGAAACGCGCAAAAACGTAGAATTTACCCTCATTTCCTGCTTCAAGTACGTTACATAAAAGAGAGAGAGAAGCCTACTGGGATAAACTCCTTTGAGACCGGCACCCCTTTCCGTTAACCTGTCGGCACCTGAACATGTCAGGTCTGAATTAACAACATGCTTTGAGTTGTGTTAGTCGATTTGAGGAGAAAGACACTTTTCTCATTTACTTTCCACACATCTATTACACACCGAAAACGTCCACAAAAAACATAAAACTCAGTCATGAACAGTTCGACGTACTCTTGGTTTTGACAAAACGTAACAGCGCTGAAGTTTGGGTTGTCGCTTCCAGCTATTTGCAGGAGTCTTTCCTCTGAGTTTATTGAACACATACAACAGCACACGATCCATACGAGCGTCTCCGGAGCAACGTATCTATGCACGTGGAGCAACAGCAGTAACCTAATTCATTATTTAGAAGTATGAATTATCCAGAACATGGAGACAGGATTGATCAGGATCCATCAGCAGGTCTCATCGTGTACTTTTCTTCACCTTAAGGGAGTCACGGTTGCATT